CCTTTTCTGAAACAATAGTATAACATCACAACATAGAAAGACATACTATAAAATATCAATTGGAAGGCTTAACTCAATCAAAAAACGCAAATTAACACACAATGAACGAATAAATTTGATCTGTGATACCTGAATGCAAATACATAGTTAATAAAATTATAAGGGATAAATAATCAAAGTCAAAAGTAATTGACAGGTTTAAACAAAGTTAAAGTATGATACCACTGTGAAATGTTAAACAATATTTAGAAAATCACCACTTTTGAAAAAAACCTGCGTCAAATTATACACAGGTAAATGAAAATAATTTTGTTGTTAAGTATACTTCTTCTGTGTGTATAAAATCTTCCGTTTAGGAATACCAAGAAGTTTTGTTAATATCAATAAAACTAGTCTTGCAATCCGATTAAATTACAGATCCTGTGTCCAATCTTTGCTTACAAGGATCTGACAACACTCCGTTTTACTTTCTGTTCTAGTAATAATTACATCAGCCAATGAAATTTCACCAATCAAATTTGTTAAGGTGTGTACTAATCCGACAAAACCAGAGGATCCCGAAAGTTTTTAAAACAAAAGGTAGAAGGGAACTTTTTGATATCCTTGTAAGCAAAGCTTGGACACAGGATCAGTACCTTAGTCAGATTGCAAGTCTTGCAAAAAAAACTTATTTCAGAAAGGAAGTGATATTTTTCAAAATGTATCATAACAACAAACATTATTGACTGTAAGAATAAAAACTCGTGGTTCTATAAGGTCTTCAAAAAAATAGTTTGCAACACATTTGCCATTTCGTCCAGCAGATAGATGAGCATATCATTTAGTACACCAAACAACAGTTAATTCAATCAAATATTAATCAAATGAGAAGGAGTGATTATAGTCAAAACTGGCCCCTGAAATTACTAAAATAGTGCAATTCTTCGATTCACTAAAAAAGTTTATTGATGAATATTTTGGATAAGAAAGATAATATCCGGACACATGAGTTAAGAAATGTTAGTGTTGGTGTCAATTCGACTTCACAAACATGTTTTAATTGATTATTTAACACAAAGTGGACATTCCACTTATAACATTTGGCAAAAGTAAAATATTAGCCAATATATGACTCAAACAGACAGTTTTAATTAAATCAAAATCATATGATATGTCGTAACACACTTTTTTCGGTAATATCTCATATATACTCAAATATGCTCATATCTAAAAATTAAAAACAAGATAAAATAAAAATGCTTGTTTACCCTCTTTCTTTCTGTTTTTTGAACGATACATTATTGGAAAAGTGCCCTATCATACCGTTTATCTTTCTTTTTAATATATGTTTTTAACTTAAAAACTTATGTTATAGTACAAAACCTACAAATTGGTATGTCTCCTTGGTAAATATTTAGATATTGAACTTGCCTTACCATGTCATTTAGTGTTTGTCGTTGGCTGTTGTCTTCAATGTGCATTTTATTATTGCTTAAGCATAAATCAAGGAGTTTGTTTTTTGTGTTTTAATTTCTGAATTTTGGCACATGTTGTCAGCTCAGTAGTAAGTATAATTCGGTACTGGCATGATTTATATCAAACCTTTCTAAAAGTGTCCGTTAATAAGTTTTTAAATTATAAAGAAACTAGGGTTTCAACTCCCTCGGGCACAGTTAACGTTGGATGGATTTGGCTGTTTTTCAGGTCCGTTTTTGGTCATATAGCTCTTCGACTGTTTCGGTTCTTATCTAGGCTTTCAATTATTCAGCTTTGAGCGTTCCTGATGAAGATAAATCTTGAAAAGCGCTTCGAATGCATGAGAATTATAACATATTGTTTTCATTTTTTACAGCACTGGGTTGATACCAGTCCCCGAGGGTATCATCAGCTCAGTAGTCAGTATTTCGGTACTGACATGATTTATAACAAACCGTTCTAAAATTGTCCGTTTATAAATCTTAAAATTATAAAGAAACTAGGGTTTAAACTCCCAAAGGCAAAGTTGACCTTAGATTGATTTGGTTGTATTTTAGGTCGTTTTTGATGATATAGCTCTTCGACTGTTTCTGTTCTTATATGGACTTTCAAATATTTAGGCTGATGAAGGTAAACCCAGGAAAGCGCTTTGGACGCATGAAATTTATAACGTGTTGTTTTCATCTTCTTTCTTTTTTGGCATGCCTGGGCCTTAAAAAGTTTATTATGCGGTTAAGATTTTGCTCATTGTTGAATGCCATATATATATACGGTGATATATAGTTGTTTGCATTCACATTCTATGGTCACTGGTAGATAGGTGTCTCATTTTTCAAACATAACACCTCTTCCCATTTTGTATATCTTACCTTTTAGTATTGATTTTGAAATACATGAAATATATTTTTACTATACATGAACAATTTTTGACCAATCTAAATCTATCCATTTATACTGTTTGAATAATTCACTTACTTTTCATTCTGACAACAAATTTAACATCAACAATTCTTGTGTTCCTCATTGAATGACACTGATATATTCCTTGGTCTGTTTCAGTAAAGTTTTTAACAACAAGCTTTACATTCCTTGAAAAATTGCTATCTACTAATGAAAGTCTTGGGAACTTCGAAATCTTTTTGTTGATGAATAATCCATCGGAATATATAGTAAGATCTGGAGGACCAAACCATACCACTGGATTGGACAAGTTAGATTCACAACTTAATATTAGATCTGAATATTTCTGCACTAGTATCTCAGATTTATATCCATGTTTTCCTGGATTAAAGTAATACTAAAGTCATTACAGAATATAGAATAAGATAATGTAAGGGAAACATCTTTCATTCTGACACCCTAAAAAAAACAGACTTATTGTAACCAATGTTCCTCCATACATATCATCTATCTCCCTCAGTTTTTTGTCATCTATATTTTGAGTTGTGTTTGTTGATGAAAGGAGTAACACATTGTGTTTCGTTCAAAATACTGATTATCATCACAATATTGAACTTTAAGTTATGTTTTAATTGTTTTGCTGATTTTTATTTATATTCGATAGAAGAATAATACTTAACAAATATCATTGAAGGTGATGGGAATCCTTTGGACAAATTTAGGATCTATATATCGTTTAGTTTTTGTGTTGTTTGGTTGCTGTTTCATTGGTAAATACCAAACACTTCTTCCGAAGATAGTTTGAGTATATTATATCTCACAGTTACAGTCGTTTGGAGAATGTGATTTTCTACAAACAATTTGCTTTCCTATGGGAACAAACTGTGTTTTTTTCCTATATTCATATGAGCAGCCATCATACAGGGGCTTCATTGGGAGAATGAAAAGACGCTAGCATTATCCTAGCATTATCCTTTAGCTCCACATTCCGTTATAGAGATGATGCATTTTCACTAAACAACAGTTAAGTCCGACTCATATTTTGACTTACATTTAGAAATTGACAAAGAGGATCGAACAAAATGTTACGAAAGAAGAGATGATTTCAGCTTCCCTATTGTGAACTTTATATGTCTATGTAGCAACATTTTAGCAGGGCCTGCATATGGAATATATATCTCCCAATTGATTCGATATTCCAGAGTTTGCATTACCTATCATGATATACTTGATAGGGGATTGCTGCTTACAAGGAAGCTTTTAATCAAAGAGTTCCAAGGAGTGTGATCGAAATCATCCGTTCGAACATTTCACGGACGCCATCAATGTGACCTACCGAATAAGACTTATCACCGGGTTTGTTCTTATATGAGCACCACGACGGATGCCACATATATAGCTTACTATAATCTTTTTAATTGGCAGAGAAAAGTAACTAAAAATTGAAGACATATGTCTTTGGTAAAAGTAATTTAAAATATTGAAATACAAAAGTTACCTTTTGCTATTGTCGACAAAGCCACTTACCTATGATAAATATAAGTAAAAGATAGCAAGCCGTCTGTTTTAACATTGAATTAGATGCTTTCATTTCTACAGCATGTACAATTCCAAGCAGGTGTAGCAATATTAATCCTGTCGGTGAAAATTACATGAACAATTATGAGCATGTGTATACCCTGTCGGTGAAAATGTGTTTTTCTTTGTTTAATAATTGTTTTGAATATAAATAGAACGTGCATATCAAAATATTATATTCTCTTCCGCTCATTTTTTTTTTGTATCATTATGTTCTAATTAAACGCACATCCCCATTTGAATGTTAAAGTCCTTCACTATAGATAAATCAGTATTACAATTGAGGTTTATATAAAATTAGTTGACAATAACGAAACTCTTTTCGTTTAATTTGATTGTTTTTAAGTTCTTCCTGCTTTGATAAACGTTTTCCGAGTGCTGAATACAAAATTAATATTTTCCTCGTTTAAAGTATGAGAGTTTATCCTATTTATGTAAAATGAAATTTTAGGTGTTAATAAACAATTAATATTCATTCACAATAATTTGAACATCCAACGAATTATCAAAGGGAAATTTTTTATTTACTGACCTTATTTTGAAACGAAATATGAATACAAGAAGAAATTGAGCATGTTCATGTTAATGGTCTCGAATTCATCTCGATGTCCGAAAATGACAAACCTGTTTTAGATAGAACTATTTTATTTACAATGCACTTTTCAAATTTCTTTTTCGGGCAACAAAATATATACAAAAATATACAGATGTACACAGGAGTTTTTACTAAAGAAATTAAAACAATGCCATTGTATTGATCACATCTGATCATATGGAAGAATCTCGAATGAAATAGAAAAAAAAACAGTTTGAAAATCAAAAGTTTCAAGAATAATATCCTCGGGTAACAAAATAAGTTCGTTGATACACACTAGAATAAAACAAACGAATGACTTTATGTGCACTCATGCTACATTTATCTTCAAAGACCTAAATTAGTTGAGCAGCTTACCACAAAAATCATGCAAATCATGATACAAGCATGTATTGTGATAAGAGACCAAGTATCTATGTGTTGTTTTTCAATGTGGACTAATTGTGTCCTCAGACCAAATAAAGATTCAATGCTAATAAAATTATTTATTAAAAACTAATATTTAATATAAAAAAAATATATAGTACATTGGAAAAACTGGGGCCTAACAGCTGCATACACATAATAAACATTAAGAGTTACTCCCCTTTTAACATATAAATGAACATTAATATACAGAAAACTTGGGGGATAAGATAAAATTTGATGATAAAAAGTATACCATTTTATCGAAAATTCAAGCAAGAGTAAAATTTTAACAAGTTCATACATCAGTATGAAAATAAAATAAACATAAAATCATACGTCAGCGTGAGTACAGAGTAAAAGAGCTCAAACTTAAACATGAGAAAATATTCAGAGCTCTTATGTACATGTAGCATCAGAAATAAAAATTAAACACCCACACGTCAGCATGAGTAGAGAGTAAAAATGTCATACGTCAGCACGAAAAGATATAAAAGAACTCATACGTCAGCATGAGTCGAGAATAAGGAGCTCATACGTCTGCATGAGAAGATATGAAAGAAACCCATACGTCACAATGAGTAGAGAAAAGATCTCATACGTCAGCATGAGGAGGTATAAAAAACTCATACGTAAGTATGAGTAGAGAATAAAAGTGCTCATACGTCAGCATGAGAAGATATAAAGAAACACATACGTTAGTATGAGTAGAAAAGAAGACCTCATACGTCAGCATAAGGAGGTATAAAGAAACTCATACGTCATTATGAGTAGAGAATAAAAAGCTCATACGTCAGCATGACAAGATATAAAGAAACTCATACGTCAGTATGAGAAGTATATAAGAAACCCATACGTCAGGATGAGTAGAAAATAAGACATCATACGTCAGCATGAGGAGTATAAAGAAACTCATACGTTAGCATGAGTAGAGAATAAAAGAGTTCTTACGTTATCATGAGAAGATGTAAAAGAAACTCATATGTCAGCATGAGTAGTACAAAATATCAAAGTACATTTAGAAGATCATGATTCAAATGAAACAAATATCTAAATTAAAAGTAAAAAGTGAATACAATGTATAAATTAAGAATCATCAAATTACAGCTATAAGTTCATGTATATACAACAAATTAATAATGAATAACTATATAATCCCCAGAGGCACTGGCAACAAAAGGAGAGAGGTGGGGATGGTGTCGGTAATTTAAAAGTGTGAAAATCCAATCAATAACGTAATGAAAATATCTGACAAAAAGTGCACTGCTATTGATCTGGAAGCAGCAAAATAAATGACGTATATCCCAAACTAAGTTGAAAATGAGGCTAACATGATAAAGAGGTACATAAGGGTGAACCCTATCTTATGACTAAAACTTAAATAATCCTTTATATAAACATACATTATCCAAATAACTGTTAATTTATATTCATCCTTGATGTTGACAGGTGACAATGATTATCCTTCCAACATAAACGTAAGAGCGAAATAACTTTATTGTTGAAGACAGTATTTGACCTTAATAATGTCGTATGTTTCCAAGACAAAACTATCTCACTGATGTATACCTTGCATCTCCTTTGATTATCCAGTATTGTGATAAGAGACCAAGTATATATGTGTTGTTTTTCAATGTGGACTAATTGTATCCTCAGACTAAATAAAGATCCAATGCTAATAAAACTATTTATTAAAAACTAATATTTAATATAAAAAAAATATATATATTACATTGGAAAAACTGGGGACTAACAGCTGCATACACATAATAAACATTAAGAGTTGTTCCCCTTTTAACATATAAATGAAAATTAATATACAAAAAACTTGGGGAATAAGATAAAAATTGATGATAAAAGTATACAATTTTATCGAAAAGTCCAAATACAGATTCATAGCAGCTGTAGCCCCAAGTTGATTTCTCCTTTTATCGCCAGTACAATAGTTATGACGAAGAAACTGATGAAACTAGCTGATTTCGAGCTTGTTTAATTACTCATGGGCTGGTATGAATATACCTAGTATAACAATCTGATGACCACCTGCCTAATGTTTTAATCAAGTGGTCTTCTAATCTTAATTTTTGTGCGGTTGTGGCTGCTCCAATTCTGAACGAATGACCATTATAATTTTTGCTTTGAAGACCTAAATTGTCTAAAATAATTTTGACATGTTTGATGAAAAAGTGTCTACTTAAAGGATTGTCATCATCAGAGACAAACAGAGCATAAGATGTTATACTTGGCATATTTTTCCGAAAAGACAAATAGTTTTTAACAGCAATGCAAGGACAAATAATATGACCACTTTTGTATAAGGGTATAGTAACACCCTGTCTGAAATTATCTGTTTTAGATATTTTCAAATGTAACCAAATGTGATCTTCAAAAATTTCTAAATCACCAACACACAAATGTGTTTCAGAATCAAAAAGGGTGAACCCTATCTTATGACTAAAACTTAAATTATCCTTTATATAAACATCAATTATCCAAATAATTGTTAATTTTCTAATTAAAGTTTATATCCAGGTTGTTGTTGTTATTTCATTTCTGAAGTTTGAGAATTATTTTCAGTTCGTTAAAAATAAATGTCAGTAATTCCAAATATAACAATAGATATATTGCGTTACGAAAGTGTCTGCAGCTGCAGTCTGTTCTCTTCTGTTTACTTGTTTTCTGAAATAGATAAAATCTTAGATATATGTGACAGTCGATCGTTGATAACTGATGATACCTTTGTTATATAACACTTTCTCAATTTAAAGAACTACTTTAAAAGTAATGTTTGTAGCATGCCAGTTGACGAAAACACGCGTCAAAGGCTTGTAATTAATTATTCATCTGTAACACCCGAATCACAAATACACATATATCTTCAAAAAATTATACACATCATACAACCTTCCTGTATTATTTGTTTAAAACCCAACGGAAATGATCACGTACTGATGTAAACTTAGAGATTGTGTAAGGGAAAAACAATCGTCAAAGATAGTCGGGGTGTATTTCATTAAATTTTCTTCTGAATTGACCGTAGTTCTGTTTAACATGTATTTTAGTCAAAATAGGACAAGTATATGATTCAGTGGAATATTTTCTTTGTTAATGTAAAAAAGGCTTGATCTTTTGTGAGATGATTACTATATCAATATAAGCAAATCCTTTACACATCAACTAATTTTACTTGCAATGACGTAGGAGAAAACTGACTAATGGGGAGGGGGCAACATTTTGAAAGTGAAAAACCAAATAAAAAAAGCTTTTCTATAGTCTAATATTTTACCCCAAAAGTGGGGGATCCCCCGGCTATAAGATAAATCAGTACATATAAAAGTTACAAGTTTTTGAAATATGGGCGTTATTATTTACATATAAACTAAAATCATTGAAATTGTTTCATCGGTTTTAATTTTATTTCAGATACATACGGTCACTTGGGACATACATGTATCATGTATCGTCCTATTTACGGAGGGTCCATGATTTATCATTGTCTGCAAGGAATACATGTACATCGTAAAACATTTTGTAAAAGAAAATACCCAAAGAGTAACTTTTTCAATTTTAATCTTGAAAATTCAACATACTATCGTTGAATAATTTGTCTTTACTAAGTATAATTTTAACATGTAAACCTAATTGAGAATTTTCAGTGGAAATACATGGAAAGGGTAAAACATCAAAACAACTTTAAGAAAAAACAATTGCTCTAGTTCAAATCAAAATATAAAATGTAGATGAAGATTATGAAAAGCATTTCAATAACTTAAACAAGCATTTCGTGCAATTTTGTTACACGTGATCATCACAATTAAAGTACGTTTAACATGTTTAATAAGCTAAAATGGCATAAATGTGGACCCAATACACATCACTGAAATCTTTTTAAAACTTCTTCGTCATCTTCTTTCTGTTCATATATATTCCGTAGAGTGTTCACAAATAGACAAATATCTCATTATTAGAAATAAACAACTGCACAAAGAGCGCATAATAGGATTCATGATTCATGGTTCTTTTTGTCAATCCCATCAATTACATTTTGATGATATCAATTATAGAATACTGGAATACGTGAGTGATATGCAAAAAATTGCCTTCCATACAAGGCTTAACGCCCTGTAGCTCTTGAATGACACGTAATTAAACTTATCAAAATTGATAGGGAGCTTTCTTTCTTCAATCTAAGGTTATGTTCAAATTTCATGAGATTCGGTAACACATATTTACGTATTGTACGACGTGTTCATGGACGGGCGGTCGAACTATGGTACATGCAATCCATGAATCAGGATGATTGACCTTCTTTCACTGGTTAAGGTACAATGCTTTACGGCTAGTCAAACTTCTTGCTTGGTTGTGTTAAATTGTTTTTATTTCGAAAGCAAAGTAAGTCTGTTTAAGATAGTTATAAATTGGAATAACAAGAACTTACTAAATATGCAAAAGTAAAACATAGCTCCATACACCGCTATTATAAATACAGCATCAAACAAACCAGGAAAAATAAGTTGGTAATATTCGTCTAAAACAGATAAAATGTTTTTATTAAAAGCAAGAAAAATATTCAGTAGTTGCGAGTACTCTACGATCGGTACTTTGTGTCTCGTGTGTTATTGTAATTTGTTGTGTGCTTCGTTTAGATCCGATGATTTGAAGCCTTTTCAACTAATATCCATGGTTTGTTATTATGCTGTACTGTTACGCCACCGTATCAGGATAGGGAAGGGGCTTGGCGCCAGCAATAATGTACAACTTTTCCACATGCTGTATGTTCCTGTCACAATTAAATCAGAAGCTTGTACTTCAGTGGTTGTCGTATGTTGCGGTATATCATATTTGTTTTTCGTTTATTCCTTTGTGAACAAATCAGGCCGTTAGTTTTCATTGATGAATTGTTTTGCATTTGTCATTGTTGGAGGCTTTAATAGCTTTTTATTTAAATATAAAAGGAGGCTCAATCTAAAACAATTAGTTTAGTATATTTTAGTTCGTGTTTTTTATTGGGAACAGTATCGTCCTTTGAAGCATATCTGATAATGTAACAGTATATGAATATTTATGAAACCAGCTTTTTGATACAAATCTACGCAAAAGCATCCCAACGACAAAACCAATAAAATTGTATGCATATAGTTTGTTCTCTCCGTATTACTTAATCTATCTATTTTCTTGCAAGTAAAATTTAATAAATTTCTTTACATGTTCATTCATTGTAGTTATTTACTAATACTGATCATATGAATGTGAATAGAAATCCGGAAGGGACAATGGTACGCAGCAAATTTGGTATACAATGAAAATAATACTTCATTAGTTTGTGCGACCGGGGTGTTTTTCTGGATTTACTTGCTTTATTTTAACACATCGTATTTACTAAATAAAGTCTTTTGTCAACATTGAAAATACCATAATTGCATGTTATGAGTAAGTTTTTTTTTCTTTTTTCACCATTTTTTGTTTTTAATAAAAAAAAAAACTAACTTTTGCATTTCTGAATTTTCTTCCTAAGGTATATTTTCTTGTTACCTACGTAACAATCTAGAGTCATAACAAAATTGCAACGTCTTGCGTAAACAGTGTGAACTATTTTCCATTCTGTAGTGTAGAATACACCTTTTGTCTGCTTATTTTCTGGGAAAACATCAGCTTCCTATATAAATATAAATTAAATGTACAGACAAGTGTGAAAAGGAACAAGAGGATTCTTTATTGATCCCCCTTGTTATATCAGTATTAAATGTTTTTATATTAAGCTATGCAGGTATTAATGCATTACGGAATTGAACAAAATCAAGTTATTCTGAAAAGAAATGAAAATACATACAACGTAACTTGGTAGGCTACTGCTAGGATAATATATTCTATACACACGTTTTCACACGTATAGAAGTATTGTTTGTCGAACAAATTTGTTCTCATTTGATCAAAAATGATTCAGCAATCGTGTACAGCAGATTTTAATTAGACTGACCTTATACAAGTGCACCTATGCATGTACATGTATACGATTTTTGGTTGATTTTGGGACATTGAAATACGACAGCAAAAGATGAATGGTTAACAGATGTATTCATATTCATATGCATAAAGTCGAAGTATTTCCTACATCTGATACCAGTTTAATTTCCCGTACAATAGGATGTATTCACCATAAGACATACTGCACCAATTGTTAATGTCAATATATCTTAATTATAGCGTAGCAATGATGGGGACCATGCATTGTGTAAAATACGGACCAAACATGTGACAAAATAATAAAATGTTTTTTTAGCCTGGTGTACCAGTATTTTAGCTGAACTGAGATAAACAGGAAGTATCGTGTTATCATCAAGCAGAGCATACAGAATTTTCAAAATAATGCTGACGTAATTCTATGGTTGTTGTTTATATCTGTATACAATATTCGGTTTTCCTTTATTAGCTTGTACATTAATCAGTCAGTTAGCTTTCTCGTTTGAATTGTTTGAATAATTTTTATTTCGGAGCCTTTTATAGCTGACTATACATTAAGGGTTTGCTCATTGCTGAAGGCCCTACGGTGTCCGATAGTTGTTAAATTCTATGACATGTGGTCTTTAATCGAGAGTTGTCTCATTGGCAATCACACTACGTCTTTTTACTTTTCTAAGATTTGTCATTGTAAGGTAAAAATAACAGAAGGACTGATAAAAAAGCAAATTATTAGTAGTTCATAAAAAGATACTAGGCTTATATTCTTTTTACGTCAGATCAAATACAAGATACAAGAGGAATTAAAAACCGAAATTTAAAAAAAATCTTTCGAAAAATGAAATTAAATTTAAGGATGTACACCTCTGAAGAGCCAATGATTTCTTGAATTAAACTTTATTTCTTAACCTGATTTTTGGGTTTATCTGACTGTAAAAAATATTTGGTGAAGAAAAAATCATATGGTGGTGCACTTCTTTTTTTGCTACGGCCCCTTGAAAGTGCCCAATTTTGATGATTTTCCCATTTTTCATCAACTTTTACCCATTTGTGGGCTATTATTGTGAAAAAAAATCACAGTTCCACAATTTTCATACTTTCAATAAAGATGAAGTGGACCAATCTGAATAAATTTAACTAAAAAAACTATAGGTATGTGTTTATATAAGAAAGTTTTATCATATTTTGAAGCTTTTTCTTGTCAAATTTACTATGCTGTCAATTTTGTAAATTTGGGATTTTTCTCTGTCTTAAGAACAAAATGCACATTATTTCAACTTCTTTGTTATAATGATTGTGAAAAAATACATATCTAAGAAATTTGAAAAGAAAAAAGTGATATGGGATGTGCACGTTTCTGGTAAAATCATTTCTTGTACCCCTCACCCATTTTCTCAAAATTTGGGCTGAAGAGACTAACTTGATTGGTAATAGAATTTGAAAAATTAATTACACAAAAACTACATAATGTAAATACACAATTTTTTCACAGAGTTAAGTTTGATTATAACATTTGTTAAATTCATTGATATTTTCAATTTGTATCACATGTTTCGGAAATAATTCCAGAACGAGATTTCAACGAGACTGAAACGTCAGAAGAATACATCCTTAAAGCGCAGTAGCTTATATTAGAAATCTTCAGACAATTTAGGCTATTTGACCCATTTGTTAGATCTTGATTTGTTTATCTGTTATGCTTTTTGAAACAGAAATAAATGTTAAACATACGGAATAAAATACAGTTGATTACCGATGTCTTAATCTCATAATCGACTAAGACGATTCATCAAAGGAACAAACAATAACCGATGAAGCGATTTCAGTTGCGTTGACATAAACATATCATGTACTGGTTAAAACTCATGTTAGGAGTCAATTGATAATTGTGGTCAAAATAGACAATTATATATAGATATTGACATTCAGAATATTTTTGTAGCTTGATAGCAGTTTTCAAAATATTGATCGTTACTTGCATTCTTCTCTCATGTTCTATGTTTAGCCTTAGTTTCCATGTTGTTTTTTCAGTGGGATTATCTAGCAACTCTTTTAAATTAGTTCATTGTCGATCGACTTAAGAATCTGAATGCACCTTTGCTATCTCATGCCTATCTTTTACAGCTTGAAAATGGAAACTTGACAATCGTAAAATTAATATCATCACGATTTTCATAGATTTTAGTTTGATCTCTTCCATTTGTGTCATTATCGAGGAAAAGATCAATAGTTATCAAAGGTACCAGGCTTATAATTTAATACGCCAAACACGCGTTTCGTCTACATAAGACTCATCAGTGACGCTCAGATCAAAATAGTTAGAAAGCCAAACAAAAAAAAAGTTGAAGAGCATTGACGACCCAAAATTCCAAAAAAAAATGTGCAAAATACGGCTAAGGTTATCTATGCCTGGGATAAAAAAATCCTTAGTATTTCGAATAATTCATACTTTTGCAAACAGTAAATTTATAAAAATGACCATGTAATTGATATGCATGTCAACACCGAAGTGCTGACTACTGGGCTGGTGATACCCTTGGGGACGAAACGTCAAGATATGTTATCAAGTCGTCAAAAAGATTCATTGAAATGCATGTGATCAAATCAGAAATATTGCTTTGGGTGACCCAATGCAATTTGTAATGTAATATTTCTTTTTTTTTCTACTTGCTTCTTGACGTCTTATTTATGTGTTTAAAGATTTTGACTTATATTACACCTACCTCTAAGTAAAACTGGCATTTTGGTGCAGGGAAAACGTTTATCATTGTAAAGTTTGCTTCTAGTGTTTTGTCTTGTACTCCATATGTCCATTGCAAATCCATATAATCAGGGTGCTCTACAATATGTTATTTGATTTTTTACAAAAAACTTTTATTATGAAATTGCACACTGTATCATCATGCGTAAATTAAAGTTAAAACATTTTTTATACATATTTGAAACAACTAACGAACACAAAACTGTTGACATACGCAAAAAACATTGATAGCTAATTCTACATAGTGCTCAGGATTTTTTTTACAACGTTTTTATACTTAGGCCATAAAAGCATGGAAGTGTAGTACCCCGGTAGGTATTTAGTCACACCATCTTAAGACGATCTACCGGAAGTACCCAGAATCCCCCTCTTTGGAATAATGGACACATAAAGCAGACGCTAACAGCCAGCAAAGAGCCATCCAAGAGCATCAGTGCGATTATGCACTTAACCTAAGGTAAGCAGACGCGGCAATTCTTTCATTGGCGCTGCGAGCAGTGTTTGGTCGAATTTTTAAGCGGGAAGGTCGTTTTTTTTTTACCAAATTAATAAGGGAAGGGGCCAGAACAGCAGTCGACATTTGGCATTGGTGAACCCTGACAGGTCACTAATTTCCAGTGTTTGCTACTCTCAGTTGTTCTGAGGTAGCAATTAACGAGTTTTGTGGGGACAAAAGGGTTGGGTTTGTACTTTGTGACTGTGTTTCAGTCACGAAGTAGTTATTATATCGAGGTATTCCACTTAGCCGTTCGCGGGACCCTTGTAGGGAAAGATGTGAACCCCATGTGATTGATTGATAAATTCCTGGGTTTGGAATTTAGCAGCCGATATTACTTTAATATTAGCAATATTGCCCCTCTTGGTGCTCCTGACAGTTCATCAGCAGAATATATCTTTCATTTTTTTTTGTGCTGTTACTTTATTATTGTAGAAGGGGAGAAAGAGTAAGTTGGATTTATTTTGTAGTAACTTGTTCTCGTCACTTTCAACTTTCAGGGAACTCTCGGTATCCTCGGTGGGATCCCCGGATTGTTACAGTGGCGACGCTGCTGTGTTTGGGGATCCCACATTGTATGAGGGGTTCTCTAGGGGAAATTGCAATCGAAAAGTTTCCGTGTATTATATACTGTCAACACCTGGTAGGTAAAATTGAACAGTTCCAAGGCACCAGTGTAAAAATCTGGCATCCTTGAAAATTACTTGCACAACATCACACTCGAAAACATTTGAAATCGATGTCTCCTTTAAACCAACTACCTGCAGAGTTACCCGAAACTATACAGTCATGTGAACGTGAGTCTCAAAAATCACATGGCAAGGGTGGACATTAATTCGGCCACCTTTGACGAGTTGTTATCCATTCCTGGGGTGGGCCCTAAAATTGCAGGCAAAATATGGGAATTAAGGGATGATCTAGGGGTCCTTAACATTGAGGACCTGAGTCGGATACAGAATTTAAGGTTGACACCAGCTTCCCAGGAGGTCATGCATTTTAGTTATTTGTCTGATAATAGGGGGATTTGTGGAAAGGGAGATCCTAGGGCAAAAGAGGAAAGGAGGCCCAGAGAAAAAGTGCAGCGAATGAAGAGCTTAATACAGACTAGGGCTAGGGGTCCCGGGGAACCAGCGTATGTTACCCCAGGGGAAGCAATTGGTTATGTTGGAGAGGCTTTGTCTAGTCCGGAGCTAAGGACCCCAGTGCAAATAACACCAAGGATGGAGATGTCAGTTCGGTCATCTTTCCAGCCTTTCGGGAGGAGCCAGGACTTTCAGGAATGTGGGGAAATTCACCGAAGTTTCGGGGAAGAAAGTGGGGGATATCAGGACAGGGGGGCTAACCCCACTGAAGAAAATAGACAGGGGGATAGGCAAAGTCCCCTGTATAGTCAACCCCGAGATTATAGGTACGAGGGCGAAACACCTTGGGACAGTAACCCTGGGGATACATACAAGGAAACGGGGGGGCCTAGCCAACAGGTATACCGAAAAGGAGACACCAAGGTTTCGGGACTTTAATGGGGAAAGTGAAATCCCAGCATCAAGGCATGTCAGTAGCAGCGGGTACCAAGGGGCAACAAGACGGGTAACAGGGAAACACACAAGCTCACAACGAGATGCTTTTGGGCGGCAGAAGGGAGTTGTGGGGGCATACACCCAGAGAGTCCAAGACCCACCAATGGGTCCCCCAGGGGGTAGACCTCCAATCATACAAAGAAGGTATGATGGAAAAACAAATTGGCAGGCCTTTTATGCCAAATTTTCCCGACTGGCTCAGGTAAGCGGGTGGTCCCCCCAGTCAGTGCAAGGACCAGTTGTGTTGGTCCTTGGACGGAAAACCATGCGAGTTTTATGCCTTACTGGTAGAAAGAAGGCATGACCTGACCTATGAAGACCTGGTTCATAAATTGGCCAAACGTTTTGGGTTTTATGAGTTGCCTGAAACAGCCCAGGTTCAGTTTAACGTTGCCCCGCAAGGTAGGGACGAAACCCTGGAGGACTGGGCCGACAGAGTCTTGTCCCTTGCCACCAAAGCATTTTGCCACCTGCCCGAGGACCATATGTATCAACAGGCAGTCATGAGGTTATGTCAGGGGGCCGCAGACAAGGAGGCAGGAATGTTGGCCTCCAATGTTAAGCCCAAAGCATTGAGGACGCGGTGGATAAAACACGGTGGAATCAGCATAATCACCAAGCTATCTATGGCCGGTCTTCCAGGAAGGAGGTAAAAAGTGTCAGCCCGGACACCCGAGGAAGGGGGCTTAACAATTACCTGGTCTGTTCCACTACCAAGTCGGAAGTCATTGGGCTTTCCATCCCGAGGGATGTAAGGGAGTTGCAAACCCAGTTTAGCACTTTGAAAGGGGAGGTACAGGGAAGTCTGGAGAATTTATTATCAGAGATTCAGAGGTTAACCTTTGCTGTCAGAAACAATGCCCGCCAAGCATCTGGGAGTCCTTTCCAAAGGTCCCCAGGGGGAGGCTGTTTCCACTGCATTGAGGTAGGCCATTTTAAAACGGAATGCCCTAATTTCTTGCGAGTAAGTTCTAAACCAGGGGGCAAGAAACTTACTTTTGAGGACACCAAGGGTCCGTTAAACTCCAAAATGTCGACTCCAGAGGTCTGAGTCTGGCCCCCATACACAGAAGTATTAAGGACCTCAAAATAAACCAGCACCCCACCTATGCAAATAGGATTAGGACAGGTACAATAAGTCAAATAAGTGCTACCCAGGGGGACCAATTGGACCTCCCAGGAGGGCTATCCTTTAAACAGAAGATTAACTCACAAAAAAAACCAGTACAGGGCCTCATGTTTGATAGCCCCTTACTTCCAGGGTTAATGCAGTCAATCAAGGTTGTTCTGAGGACATCACTCAACCCCATACAGACACCCTACTGGAAGAGATAAGTCAGCACTGGGGCATAGGTCAAGGGCAAAGGCTATTACAAGAGGAAGTTTCTGTTGGTGAGTCCTTCATTCTCAATCCATTTCAAACAGCAGGTCACATGCCAGAGGGGATGGATATGAGTTCAAAGATACCATTAGGGGAGTTACATATTGAAAACAAATTCCGGGGACTGAAGAGGGGGCCCAATAAATAACACCAGCCCTGGAATGCATGTTCCAAACGGGAGTCTCCTTTAAACCAACTACCTGCAGAGTTACCCGAAACTATACAGTCATGTGAACGTGAGTCTCAAAAATTAGGAGACCGTTCTCTGAGCCCAGTTCATGGTCAAGAAGGGCCAGGGGTACAACTGTGTTCAAGGCAGGGGTTGTACAACATCAAGGACCCAATCCTTTGTCAGAGAGAGGGGGTGCCCCGAACCTCTTGGTCTCAACAATGTCTGGTCTTGCATGGGAGGCCCCTTTTAGCACGTTTGAAGCTTTGAAAGAAGATGAGTGTTCAAAGATGAAAATTGGAGAGGGTGCCCTTGGTTTGATGCCCGAAGGGACAGCAGAGATGTTGAGGGAGGTTGGAAACTGGGCAGAAAGAGTGGAGCAGGCCGAGGCAGAAGAAGCTCAGATGAATGGAGAACAGTCACAGCAATGGGACCCTGGCATTGCTTTCTTAGAACACAATCAGCAGTTGCTCACAGTGCATCCACTGTTAAAAAACAATGGTGTGTGTGTGGGATTTTAGACAATCCACAAAGGGAAGGAAAAGGAGTCATTCAAAAGGAGGGCATTGTGGGGATACTTCCAACCCAGCCCGTCCAGTTTGAGTATGACTTCCAATTGTAGGGAGGGTAACTAGGGGATCAACCAAGCAGGGGACATGCCAGCAGTGCAGGTTGATCCTCTTCGAAGGAGATTAGGGATCTAGTTTTTAAAAGGGGATAATGTGGGGGAGATATATAACCTCATAAGATGGAAAAGATAAGCTGTTTCTTGTTTGGCCATTTTGACCATTCCCATTTGGAGGAATGTGGGTGAAGCCTGACAGATCATCCCTGGCTACTCTTAGCTTGGGGACCTCGGACAGGTTTAGCCCCTCCAGGCCAATGTAATGGTTCTGGCTACACAAATGAACTGATAGGGGTGTACATAAATGTAAATAGGTTTTTTAATGTTTCCTATTGTTATGTATCCTGTAACGTTGTTTTATTATGGAAGGGCCTGGGGACATCTAGTTGTGTATTCATACCCAAGGGGACCCATTGTTATATGGGGGGTCTTAATTGATGAAATTGGGGGGAGTGTAGTACCCCGGTAGGTATTTAGTCACACCATCTTAAGACGATCTACCGGAAGTACCCAGAATCCCCCTCTTTGGAATAATGGACACGTAAAGCAGACGCTAACAGCCAGCAAAGAGCCATCCAAGAGCATTAGTGCGATTGTGCACTTAACCTAAGGTAAGCAGACGCGGCAATTCTTACAGATATTTGCAACAGCTTGCACATTTTTTGGATAAAAACCGTAGCTACTTTTTAAATAAAGGTATAAGTATACCGATTATGTATTGATCCAACGAGTGAAAAAACGAGTCTGTTTCCAAATGTTCTCACATTAATATTGATCATACCTTTGCAAAAAAAAACACGCTACTCAGAACATAACTAAAGACTGAGCAACACGAATAACAAAAAAGTTATTTTAGGTGCTCCTGAAGTGTAACCAATACTTGTGAACTCATCATGTTGCTCAAGTCAGCAAAAACCTGGTGATAAACTGAAATCGGAATGTCAAATTTGAGGAAAAGAGGCCGGGGTTATGGTTACGACAAACTGAAACATCTCCGTCTTCATCTGCAAAATTACTAATTTATAGAATAATTCAAATTTTAAACACCTTCTGTTGTTCTGTTTACTTATTCAGTGATTAGTACCACCAAGTGTATTTATATTACTTTCCAAGCATTTGAGTTTGAAAAAAGTTTCAAGTTGTTTACTTTGGGTTTACTTGGGGTGGTGAGGGGAAGGAAAGTAACATTATTTGTAAACTTATTCAGTGTCCGAAAATTACAAGGCGCTAAGGTTTTTGTATTGTCCGGATATCATTGCACATGGCTTGTACATGTACGCTGCTTAATACAAATAAGATCAGTGTTGTATCTCCGATAGACAAGGTTTAACATTTAGTAGTTTAAGCTACCCAGAATACCCCATTTTTGATTGAAAGTTTGTTGTCTACTGTACTACACATAACATGTTGCACGTAGGTTATTCAACGCTCTTAAAGGGAGTTACATGCAATCACTTTTTTATTTGATTTAAGACTATACTTACAGATCGTTACACAGTTATAAAGTATTTTTATGTGTAAAAGTAACAAAGTATGACTCTTATTTCATGCCAAATTGAATAATGATTTAATTAGAAAAAGATTTTTTTTATAATATTCTTATACATTACATAAAAATTATAAAAGTTGTTTTTGTCAAACAGAATATAACGACTATTACTGCCATACTATCATTTGACTATCGTCAACTAGAAGAAATGTATATGAATAATTGTTCTTAATGTATTTTGTTTTATAAGTTTTAATCTCTGCTTTAAATACTCACTTTCAAATGTATCCGACTCCAAAGTCAGCATTTTTGTAAAATTAACGTATCCATGCCAGCATGTATAACTGTCTGTCATATCTGATTCATTAACATCGTGTATATAGAGGTAATAATCTGAACAAATATTGTTTCTTTCACTCGTGTACTTTTTGTTGTATGTGGCATTGTTAAATGCAATCAATGCATTATCATGACCTCGCGTCCACCTGCTTGTTGAAACACAGGAGAACGTAGATATTGGCATTCTACATTTTAAAATCAGGTCTCCTCCAAACACAACTGGCCTATTAACAACTTTCCATTGAACTGAAAATTCAATTTACACAATAAATGTATATTAGGTTATCATGACTGATATAAGCTTAACTGAAAATTTATCTTTGATGAAAATAAGCCCTACACTAGAACACAAATGTTGTGAATCATTTTAGTAGTATATTGAGGTGCAAGTATACATTATATGTGTAGGTTGAATTCTGAAAAGGTAAACCTTTAATCTTATTTTCATTTCCAAGTCAACATTGATGTCTTCCATCTCCAAAAATTGAAAGAGATTACTTTAGACGTAAGAAAGTTTAAATTTTAACTTGAAAAACGACCAGTTGGAAGTAAGAAATAGCAAATGGAAATGCATTTTTGTAATTTGAATATGTTTGACAATTATAAATACTAAGCATGTCAAGACGTAGTGTGCAAATGCAAAAGGATACAAAAGTATTATTTGTTCTGTGATTGAACACGCTTTGTCTTTATCTTGTCGATTGAATGAGTACCGGTGTTATATAAATGATCCAAATAGGAATAAATTCCTCTATAATTCATTATCAAGCCTGATCTTTCTAATGTTTTATTGAGGTTCATTAACATTATGATTGAAGACAAAGAAATATTAAGTGCATAATAGAAAAGGTTGATCTCAGGATTTAGGTAATATGAACAGCTATCCCTTGCCCAAATGGAACGTCAAAAGAGCTGGATTTGGTATTTTGCCGAGATGTGGAGATATCAACAATACGTTTAAACATCTGATCATCGTGGTTTAAAACGAGGTAAACGAAAGTTAACTCAGTGTTTAATTCAGTGTCTGTAGGGAGAGAGAGATCATATGCATATGCTTGCAGTCTAAACGATGCACAAGTACATAATACAAGTTGCGCTGAATTTTCCTAAAATTTCGATACCTTTGTATATAACTTTTGCCATTTTGCATCCATATAATAATGTTGATGTCATAATGTAATATATATATAAGCTGAAACGATATTCTTATTTTAGTAAGCTGAAAACTAACCTGAACTATAGAAGTACTGTGATTCTTCTGTATGTCGTATGGGAGATATTAACAGCATAACCCTGTGCATTCATTAAAATTATATAGCATCATTTTTACTTATTGTTACATATATACAGTATAATTATGATATTGCATAAAAGTATCTAGCATGAATATGGTTACGAAGTCATAGAACCAAGACAGTTTAAAAGGAGAGGGGATTAGGTTTTCAAATGTTCATACAAAAAGCATTTCTAAATCAACTAGACGAAAGTGATGCATGTAAGGGTACATTGTAGATATGATATTGCGACAATAACGTATACACTCTGAACTACAAATTTAAATATCTTTCAGTTTCATCCTGTAAAAATCAACAACTTGGTTACTTTAATCATAACAGATATTCCCAATTAGACCAGACGTTTCCGAGGAGAGAACTTATTGAAAATTAATGCATGATGGACGCCAAATGATGGTTTTAATACAATAGCATATTGGGCCAAAATAAATGACATAACGTAATTAAGATTATTTACCTAATATATAATCTCTCTTTATTAAAAAAAGACGCATCACTTCAGACATACATTATTATCTGTTTCGACGTTGTTTTGATCCTAAATAACATTTTATGTCATTTTTTTACAAGCAAGCCTATTATCTCTGATCTTATTCAACAACAGAAAATTTAAATGGTGCAAGCATCCACTTAGTAAATACGTCATGCTTGAGTTTCAGAATGAATAAAGGTGTACACGAGGCACAGCAGGATGAACAGTAGTATATAATGTTTTTAAATAGTTACAATTATCACATGACCCATAAGGCTGAATGGAACAACGCATCATCCCCAAAATTCACAATAACTTCTCAGTTGTGATCGATATCGGTAGCAGCTGTGATAGCTATCGGTAGCAGTTGTGAGTTATCGAACGGGGTTTCTCACGTCATTTGCTTTAACACCTATCACCATAACCAAGCCAATCCCCCACACACATTTTGTGTATGTATGAAATTGCATTGAATCACACTGATATTGGGGGAAACACATTCAAAGTTCATTGACCATTAACCAATCTTTGTAAGAATTTCTGCATATTTTGATCTCGAACATCTCTGAGGAGACGTTAGTGATTGGCATGTAAGTATGTCTGTTGCAGTACAATTGGCAACGTTAATGTTATGCCAGGTAATCAAATTGTAGTACAAAACTCAATTTTCTTATGGACTTATAATCTTGTGTCGAAACGGAAATGAAGTAAATATCAGGTCATATTTGTTAAAATTCACAAAAAGTCCTTACCTTAAGAGTAACAATATTTCTTTTGGGACTGGGAAGTGCGAATAGTTTTTGATATCTGAAAAAAAAAGCAATATCTTCATAAGAAATATAAAACCGTCTGGACTAAAAAAGTCAACGGGTACAATAAATATATCACTCTGATTTCTGTTATGACACGACACACATATACATGCGAAAAGTGCGAAATGTCGTTTATTTAAAAGCAATCTCTTATTCATTTTTATATTAACAAACAACATTAAACAAATCTCTAATAAAAATATCACTAATTACTACAGAAATATTAACTCGTTAATTAGAATATTATTTGATGCTGTTCTAAATGGTTCTTTAAATAGGAAATGAGAGGTAATGTGTTAGTTAATGATGTTAGTGGCACTTCAACTTATAACTAAAAATACACACTCCATAATTATAGAATAACTCACTGTATCTATACATTTATGACATCCAACGTTATATTTTGGCGTTATTATACATGGATTCAAAATTATAATAGTGTAGCCTACTGTTTACAAGTATTCTAGCACTATAACCATATACATTACCATTCTCATAAAAAATATACACTTGAATGTTTTTCAAAATTTTATAATGGAAAAACTGCAAAAGAAAGAAATACATTGGATTTTTGACAACCTGTATTCTCACCGTAATTTAGTCAAAAAGTAACATAAGAAGCTGGTACATATAGCAGAACTAATGTATTCAGAAATTCTAAATTTTAAAACGAAATCAATTGCGAACAAAGTTCACAGTTTTTGTTGGTGTTTGTTTTCTTTTTGTTTTTGTTGGTGTTTGTTTTCTTTTTGATACGTAAGAGTGATGTGTAGTACACTATTAATATAAACCTACTATCACACGGATGTTGGACATGCTACAATTATGTATATTTATATATAATTCTTATATGATTTGCATATTAGGAAATACGTTAATATGATTGGTCGAGAGGAATTCCGGTAGTTGTTCTTGACGTTGTTTATTTTTCGAAAGACGACGTTGACCGAACTTCTTCTCGTAACCAATGTAAACAAGATGGCGGTGATAATAAAACAATCTGGATTGACGTTATTTTCACTTCGCGTTAATCGTTAAATTAAATAATAAACATAAAACATTCGTATGAAGGATAATAACAGTTTTTGTAGTTTATATTTAATCAGATAGCAAATTTCAAGGAATACATTTTTTTGTGTTCACCAACAAATATTTTCATCCGCCAGGACTATTCAATGACACTAATATACAATTGACATGTGCTAGAGGTTACGAGTGTGGAAAAATAAATTCCTTATCTCCGATTTTAAAGAATTATAAGGATTAAACGCCTTTTAAAAGGAATTTGTTGGTCACTCACAAACATATCATAAAAGTCCTTCGGACTTTTATTTGTTTGTGATTGAATTGGTCGAGTTTATACTCCAATAAATTCCTTTAAAAAGGCGTTTAATCCTATAATATTCACAATAACTATATATCGTTGGTACATTCCCTTAAGGGACTGTGCAATATTTATTAGGCAGGTGGGACCGGTGCAAACTCTGATTATGACAAAAAAAAGTAAATGTTCTATATGATACTGATTTGGTCTGTAAAAACTAAATGTCCTATGACTTGAATGCAGAAAAAAAGTATATGTCCTATTACACTACAAACTGTTCAAAGTCTGAAAAGACCATATTTTGACTGGTCGAGCACAGATTTGATATGACTCAATGTAATCTCAACAGTCTGATTTAGGACTTAGTAATCTTGGTATGATCTGAATATGGTATCAACAAATTGGTAGCTTGGTTCATTTCTGTCAATTTTAAGATTTTTAAAAGATAAAAAAAGCTCGAATTTTCAGTTCCGACTAATTTCAGATAGTCACTTTTAAAAATTTCTATAAATTTCCAAATCAACTTGGATGTTCATATAACTCTACAGCTATCTTATTTATATATTGATCTTACAGAATGCGAGGTTGTTTGACAGTTTTGTGTATTGCTGTCATTTTTATGGATTTAATTATTAAGTAAAAATAAGCTAACATTTTCAGTGTATGCTAAATTCCGATAGTCACCTTTAAAATTTCTTATAACTTTTTCAAATCAACTTGGATTTACATAAAACTCTACAGCCATCTAATTTAGATAATGATCTTACAGAATACCAGGTTATTTGGTAGCTTTGATGTATTGCTGTCAAAATTATGGATTTAATTAATAGGTAAAGAAGGCTTTAATTTTCAGTTGAGGCTAATAGTAGGGTGCCAAATGTCCAGAAAGTCCTCTAGTTAACGAGTTTAAGTTAACGGATAACACACGGCTGATTTTTTTGCACATTATAGGAAATTTATTATATTTTACAATCATGATTGTCGTCGTAAGTTCCCGTGGTCACGATTTTCTAAATTTCGTATTTTACAGGGTACCACCCGATACCGTATTGTACGGGGAATCTTTAACATGAAAAATAAAATTATTGCGTTCTTTGTTGGTAGCTAAAACAGTACCTATAATATAGTTTATATATTAAATATATCATATAATGAAATCAGAAAGTATTTAAGTGATTTTGATATAAGTATTTCAGCATTTTAGTAAAAGTAAAATTTTACCCGAAATTTACCCTATTTTCATTGAAAGCAAAATTATTACATGTATCATCACAATATTTTTTACTCTGATTTAATCAATAAAACACAGCAGTGCATATGTGTGCCAAATTGCATGCGTGAAATAAAAATCGTTTTGAAGAAATTAGCAATTAAAAACACAAATTAAGTCAGCATTTTTGTATTAATTAAACACGGATTATCTCGTGCCATTAATCATTTTGTTGCTTACACTACTAGGTCAACAACAAGGACAGAGGTCACTCAAAACATTTGTCTTTTTTGCTTGTTGGGTGGTTGATTTATTTGTTTTGAATAGCCAGCTAACTTTGTAGATTATCACTTGGTTCGGAGAAATCTGTTTTGTGTCTGTTTTTCAAAACTTTAAACTTTTTATTGAATAAATATTTTGTTAAAATTGTAGTATAAGAATCAAATCGGTTGGTTTTGTTTCACACCCGGAATATGGCACATCAAAAGTCTTACATGATGTTTTCGACCTCAATCCCTTTCGATGGGAACGACAACAAAAATATACCACCGTTCGTGCAACAAAAAACAAAAAAAACATACAACAGACAGCAACAAACGACAACCACTTCATTGCAGGCTCCTGATTTTGGACAGACATATACAGAATTTGGAGGGGTTAACATGTTTGTGATCCTTCATCCCTCCCATGACTTGGACAATAGTATAACAACACAGCATAAGAAAAATCTGTTGAAAAACAGTTTGAAATGGCTTGACTTATCAAATCGGCATGAAGCACAAAAACAAACTAACATGAAGACAAAAAACAGAAAGTACCGATATAATAGTACTCGCCGCTAGGGTAGAACATTTTATATTCTGAAGAAAGGGATGGGCTGGCGGCGCGAAAATTTATTTTTACTTTTGTAAACATTCATATCCTCAACTATTCTGCATTTCATGTTGAAGAGTGTTCATTCTCATCCTGTCTTGTGCAAAGTCAATTATTTCAGTTCATACCAGGCCAAGTAATTCATTTTCAAAATCCTCATTCCCTCCCTGTTTTCGAGTCGAAATCAAATGGGTGTTCCCTTACTGAAAACTAATGAAAGGACATCATCAATGGTCTGAGAAAAGTATGATCATAAACATCATTACCGTAAAAACTAGCTTTTGTTATAAATCAGGCCGTTGGTTTTTTTTCAAATGAATTCTTTCATTTTTTTCATAATTGACCTTTTTATAGCCGACCATACGGTATGCGTTTTTAACATTGTCGAGGACCGTACGGTTGCCTATAATTGCTTGCTTCAACATCTCCTAATTTTTATATTATACAACAAGTATTACATGTAAATGAGGCAAGGTCAGATGAACTCTGCAACACAATCATGTACACTTTGTTAACATTCCATACACCAAATATATTTAACCCACTACTATCTGAGACTATACGGACTTGACCACTGAAACTTAACCTTATTCACTGATCCTTGAAATTAGGTAGAGGTCATATGAATTATGTCTGACGGTCATGTAGGCCTTGCAAGGATACCATATATTAGTAACCAAATATAGTTATCCTAGAACTCATGATAATTGAGATATTCACATGACGAAAAAAGCTATACAGTTTTTTAGCAGTCACTTAACCATGAATATGAGGTCAAGGATAATGATTATATGACGGAAACATCGTAACACAATGAATCTATATACAAAGTATGAATCATCCAGTTCCTCTGCCCTCTGCAATATAAAGCTACACAAATAGCTTACGGTGTTGCCGCCACCACCATCAGATTGTATTATGTATGCTTCGCATTGCATTCTGCTACTTACGTCGAATGCGATTTAAAAAAAAAAACAACTGAATTTAGCTTGCTTACCTAAACCTAGTCGGTGGGCTTTCAACTTAACAGTAGACAATGAGACGTAATAGCTACTACTAGCTTCGGCAATTTTTCTATGTTGTTTCGCTCTTATTAAAATTCGCGTGCTCTTGTATATAAGCTCAAATGAAGAAAACGAAATCAGAGATCTATATTTTAATCAGATTGATGTTGTTTACAAGTGTTTGTGAAATACATCGATGCTGTTCAAAACTTTCATTTTATAGATAATCTTTAACGTCATGTCAATTGTAGGCCAATTTATGTTCGATAAGTCATGTAAATTACACTTGATATAAGTGTGTAAGATGGAGTGATTAGCCTGCTGTTTCTAATTCTCATTTTGTTTTCATAACTTGTAACATAAACCCTCCCCCTTTTTCACCGTTTGCAGTTTTTTTTTATTTCTGTAAAACAAATATATACTCAGACCTGCTAATTCATGCAATAAATTATGTGTTAATATTCATCAGTTTTGGAACTAAGTACTATTTGATGTGCTTCTACGTTCACCAAAAGAAAATTGGATATTTACCAGAAAATCATGATGAACACATTCTATCAAAAGACGGACAAAATAATATTTTAGGAGGGCAACTTCTAAATGTTAATATCTAAAAAACATCTCTAAAGATCACTTGTATCGAATCCTATGTAAAAATTTCGATTTTGGAACTTTTAAAAGGTCAAGGTCACTGTTATTTAACAGCTGAATGAAAATTGTAAATGTGCACCATATAAGTACAGATGTCAATCTCGAACCATATTTGGCAATAAAATTATCCAATTAGTCCTAAATATAGAAACTATAGTTATAATCCTTTGAATTATTTGAATTTATTTTGCTATAAACGCAAATATCTATGGGTGGCCAGCTGTCTAAACGTGACTCTTCGTATTCCTTGAAATTTTAGATTTGACCTTTAACCCAAATTTAAGAAAATCGTGACCACTATAGACAACGACGACATCAATATTTCGACGAGGCTTGTTCTCCTCTTTCCACTGATATAAAATATAGCCGTGTGTTATTCCGTTAACCCAAATCGATCAAATTTGTTGACTGGGCACCCTACTATAAATCCAGATAGTCATCTTTTAAAAAATGATATAACGTTTTAAAATCAACTTGGATTTTCATAAAACTCAACAATTATCTCAAAATTTATATTGATCTTACAGAATGACAGGTTATTTGGTAGTTTGGTTTTTTTCTGTCAAATTCTATGATTTAATAAGAAGCTAAAAAAGCTGCATCAAAGTCATAAACATGTCTGCCTTTGCTTCAAAATGACCATAATTATTTCTTTCTTGAAAAGTAGAAAAGATAAAGTGACATTGTATATTTGAAATATAAACATGCTATGTTATTAAGACAATAATTGAAAATTTAGCATATGATAATATGTTTACTAGTCTAAGAGTTATCGTCCCTTAATTTAAATTACTCCCTTTATATTGAATTAATTAGGTATTTTGAAAGTTGTATACAAATTGGATATTTATAGTTAATATTTTTTTTTTATTGTTAACAATAGTTAATAGTGAATAAAATTAATCTTCATGTTTTATGGTCACAAAAGGGGGAAAAGTGGTGACCTTATGCCTGAAGTGGATGAAAAATGTGTTTGTCCTACTATGTTTTGCACCAGTCCCACCTGCCTGATAAATATTGCACGGTCCCTAATCTGCATTTGTATGTAATGCAAGTAGTAATTTTGTACATATTATAATTGTGCAGACTTTTTAAGTTATTGATACGAACCTGGTCATCTTCAATAATTAAAAAGCTTGACGAATTATTTACTCTTTATATATATATACCGAGTTAATACTAACCATGATGAAATTGAAAATGAGAACACCAGTTATAATTAATTTATATTTGTCAATTGTTTTTGTTAGTTTAAACTCAATATCAGGAATCAAATTAAAATAAAGAAACGGTAAAAAAATGGGTCCAATTGTAGACTTTCCATATGTGAAAATTTCATAAATTTAAAATTTCCTTAAATGGTAATTTTGGTCGATAACACATACAAATTAAACTAACGGATTAATTTTTTCATTTGCTATAAAAATGATTTCCACAGATTTGTAGTCTACTCGGTCGGTAATCTGTCCTATTTTCAACATTGATCATTTGTTCCACAGATTGATTGATTTGTGTTTAACGCCATTTTCAACACTATTGTTCTATTTTGTGGCGGTCAGTCATTATTGGTTCTTGGGAATGGGCGTATTTCCCAAAGAAACCATCGACCTTCGGTATGGAAACTAATAATCTTAGTCAATAGATTATTTTCATATTCGCGACTTTTAACTCCGACATGTTACCTTCTGTTTGTTGAACATCCCTGTACCCCCCGGTCAAGCAATATCAACGTAAAGTAGAAACATCAAGCTTTCAAGCGGTACATTTTTTAGGGGAAATTTTTTCTTTTCTTGTTTTCTATGTTTGATTTTATGTTTAATTATACTTCTTTTGGTTGCTCTTACTTGACTAAGTACCATGATGTCCAAACACAGATTATGTAACCTGTTGAAAAATTATATAATCCAGAGTCAAAAGTCGGTAATATAAAACTACAATATAAATATAAAACGTCTATTAAGAATAAAGTCGATGGCTCCTGTAACTTGCAGGATTCGAACTGACAACCTAAGTAGTGACAGGCTATTGATACAGTTGGTCGACTACTTAGGACACTAGCCACCGATGTCCCTTTACCGTAGACAAATTAAGTCTGTGTATTTTTTTGCTGTTATTTGTTTTCATTCCGAATGTTTCTGAAACAGTCGACTTTTAAAGGAAGGTTTTTAAACTAGAGTTGATGCTCCCAGGAGCAGTACTTTTCTAGTACAACATTTCACATGAACATGTACACTTAGTAATCAAAATAATGCCAAAAGTAAGAATTCTAGTAGAAACATTATTTTGTCATTTTCTTTTCTATCACTTGATCAGTGCAAGACAAATTGAGTAAACACAAGTTTCTAGGACAATAACTATTTCAAACGTTTATAAATAAGTTGTGATACTTTATCAAACTATGGCAATCAGTTTGATAAATAGTTTTAGAAATAGTTAACATTCCTACGTACCCATTTATTTGATTCTGATTCTAAGTAAGGGTAACCTCTTTGATTGTAGTATACTCTGATGATTGCGTCAACAGGAATGAAAAGTCTGTCTAGTTATATTATTAACTTTTCATGCTTTGGTGCTAAAATATAAGGATAATATAATAAAAAGTTAAATCAGAAAAATTCTGAACTCCGAGGAAAATTCAAAATGGAAAGTCCCTTATCAAATGGCAAATTAAAAAGCTCAAACACTAATGGTTCATCAAAACAAACCTCTGTGATTAACAATCAATTCAATATCATTGAAAGCATCGTCTAGATACAAACCGTCTCTGATATTTTAAAACTGAAATCAATATTCTCATTGTATATGGTCTTCTTCAATTTATAATAGAAGTCATATAACTGTTAACTTAAATTTTATTGACATGTATTAACTAACTAATCAGCGTATTACTCAAATTACAAGTCTCAACTATAATCGAAACAGTTACATATAAGTTAAGATAAAAAATAAAATCGAAAGAACGCATTTCTACAGCCAAACAATGCAATATAAAGGGGCCGTTAAAGATGAAAACCAGTCATTTTGAAATTAAATAATGTTCAAGATTACTTATCGTATTCAGCTGGGACCAATCTACTCGAATGATTGTCTTGAATGAATATTCATCGGTACCAGATAATTAAATCGCAAATACCACAAATGCAAGCATGTATCATAATGGGCCACCGTACAGCCTTCTACACTGAGGAAAAACATACTGTACAGTCGGATGTTTATGTTGTCTGAAATGTAGTTATATTGGATAATATAAATAATTGTTTGATTTCATTACGACTGTGTTTGTCCATAACGGTCCGCAAAAATGTGCATTCTGTTGGCTGTTGCATTGTTTCGATTTAAATTGACTGAACACTCCAGCTATTATTTACTTTGAAGGTTAATAAATTGGATAATAAATATATATACATGGCAAACCAGTACTGAGAGTCTGTTCATTCGACTCAAATCATTCTTTTGCATGGGGAACAATTAAATATATGTAGGACTCACGTCCATGGCGAGTTCCAGATCAATGGCAAATTCCTAATCTATGGTAAATATGACGTTGTGCCATGCCTAATCTATGGTAAATATGACGTTGTGCCATGCCAAATCTATAGCACTTTTTTTATAAATCAAATTTATGACAATTGTTTTTCAAATCCTAAAATATTTCTAGTAACTAAATCTGTGGTAGATTTATAAGTTTCCAGATCTATGGCTTATACGAATGCGGCACCTGTCGCAATGTCCAAAGGTAACGAAAAGTAGTAAAGATCATTTATATAAGAGATCGCTAGCAATGCAATGTTCCGTATAATTAATGTTTCCATAGGGCATCAATTTTTTTTAAAATTCATCGGCACTGATTTTCAGACTAGTCCAACATATTGCTTATATAAACCTATGATATAAGTTTTATAAAAATCTGGCAAGAGTTGAACAAATGAGAGAGCTAACGGTTCAATTTTCCATATCATTGACGTTTCAAAGGAGCATAACTCTTTCAAAAGTTATTGATCGGTACTGATTTTTGAACTCGTCGATGACATTTCTAATATAAACCTATAAAATGGTTTTAAAAAAGTCTTCAAAAAGTTGTACACGTGAGAGCACAAACAAGACCGGACGGACGGAAGACGCCCAGTTATCTATTCCTCCGCGGGGACAAAACGACGAGAGGCAATTAAAGATGTTAAAATTCTTTTACTCTATGCTTGCAAACTATGAAACATTATCTTTCTTATTTTGAAGACATTTGATCATTTTGATATTCAAAATGTATTTATTTAAAGGGACCCTGCAGTCTTAAAGAAAAGGTATAGTGTAGGGCATGGTTAGGTTAGGGTTTGCATTATGTCAGGGTAAGGTTTGAGCGTGTTGAGATAGGGTAGGGGTAAAGGAATGGATAAGAGTAAGTGTTAGTTTAAATAGGTAAATAGGTACAGGTTGATTTAGTATTATAGCACTTTATAGGTTGGGTCCCTTAAAGTACCTGCCAGTTTGTACTATATTTCATTTAAGACCATGGAATGTTTTATCTTTTATACACAGTCATGTAGCTGCATGTAGTCATACGGAGAACATTTAGAAAAGGCGATCAATATATTTAGTTATATCTATCATATGAATTAGAAGAGGGTTCGTCGAATTGTGTTCTGTTTTCCCCCTCATTTTGTTTTTATTTATCGAGTTTTACTTTACATGGTTCAGAATGAAACAAACGCGAATTTCATCGGTAAAGTTTTCTATTATTTTATTTATTTTTTGACGCATCTTGAAATCGCTATTTAAAAACCTATATTACCATTTTAATAAGTGTTTGTATAGAATTCTGTTTAACTTATCAAAATAGTTCATTCTGAGTAAAAATACAGAGAGCTTTAAATAAACAATATCTATTATCATAATGGGAAAAACCAGTTACTAAAATAGATATTGAATTATGCGTCATTATGAGAAGGTCTGTTCCCCTGTGCCCCCCTCTTAATTCGCCTCTGAGATTAGATTTATTCATGTATTCAATTTGTTGTAGATTTTAATAAATACTTCACCGTGTATGTTGCTTTGAATTGATGCTCGTATACGTAATCTTTTATATTTTACTATGCGGAGTCGATTTCATTCAACATTGATTGAAGGTCGTTCAGTGACCTTATAACGAGTAGATATTTGTATCCTTATCTTTTTGTCTCGGGTAGATATTTGTCTCATTACTCATTGGCAATCTCAAACCACATTTCTTTAATAATATATGCATTCAATTCAAATATTTTGATATTTTCTATTGTTTCTCAATGGACAGCAAACGTAAAATATGACATCGTATAATTCCCCAGAGGCTGTAACCTAAACATGATACTATTTAGTATTCAATGTAATTGTTTGTTTACATAAATTGAATATTTGACAGAGTTTACTTACCTTATCAATCAATTAATCATAAACAATGTCGCACGTAACGGTATTATTGTCATACAAAATTAAATAACATTGCATCATTCATATAATTGATCAAATAGTTTAAATATGACTTATCCTAAGTAGTTTATATATAGATCAAAGAAAATCCAAGTGTTATTAAAATAATAAAAAAATTAAATATCCAATTTGCCTTTTACAACAAGAAATACGTGAGGTTATTCTAACTAACCATACAACAAACGAGAATTTTCCATGTCCATTTTTTTTAAGTGACAAATCCCATATCAAATATATCAATTAGTACATAGCTTTGGATCCATCCAATCATTTTATAATAGACAATTAATGGAGAGAATACGGCACCAAAATGTCCAACCCCTACACTTTAACTATAAAATGCATTTTACACTTATTTTATGTTTTTCCAAAATCCTCGATCCGCCCCTGGTATCTGAAGAAATATTCTTAAAGTTCTATATGATAAATGGACTCACTTTTTACAGTCAACATAACACTTTTAACACTGATCATGACAGCAGCTTTTAAAGGCAAACCCTTAAAAATAAATTACATACATTTATTAACCCCGCGCATTTGAATAAAAAAATAGTTATATTGTTATTATGCATTCAGTATTATTTCTTCTTCTGGTTGTTCTCGTAAACTATGCCAGGCCAATGACTTTAACATCTTTCGACATTTGCTTATAATGTTTGACATGGACGTATATAACCTAAAATCGGCCTGTTTAATATCACCATGACCTTATTGTGACCTTGACCCAAATTTAGAATATAGGAATTTTTTAGGGGGCATTTTAATGTCCAGATTCTGTATCATTTTTTCATCTTTAAACAAATGGTCTTTTTTTATTTGCCACCTCAAGACGATTTTAACACGTACCATTTCAAATTACCTCTTACTTTTACAAGGACCTAACGGAGAAGGGGCTCTAGGGGGCAAAATTAGCCCCACTTCTAAATCTATTGATATTTCTTTCAATTGATATCTATGATATGGAGCTTATAAAACACCAAGGATTTAATAGTTATCTTTTGCCGTTTTCTTGTTATGACAGTTATCTTTTGCCGTTTTCTTGTTATGACGTCATAAAAATGGTATGCCGACTAAGCTAAAATATCAGCTTTTTACATATTTTACCATTTTTTTATGTATTGTGTACTTTTTACAATAGATTTAACCTTAAATAATCAACGTGAATACATTAATACTAGTGTAACATTGTATTAATACAATGGAGAACAAAATTGATATTAAGTTTAACTATTTAATATCAGTAATATAGTTGCTATGGTAACAACAAAGTTAACATTTGTTCTATGTATGACTAAATTACAGAATTTTTTTCACAAGAGAGAATCAACAAGAATTGTTTGTGTATTCTTTTACCTTGAATTACCAAAATGAGTATTGTGTGTACTTTTATGTAGTTTGTTGATAAAAACACAAAGAAGGTATAACATTTCAATCGTACAGTACCTGTATAGAGATAATATATGAATACAGTTCGTAATTTCATAAACTATACATTTCAACAATTTCTCAACCTTCTTAAAACTGAAATATTCTTAGCACGTTTATCTTTATAAACTTTTCACATGTTCTTCATATCAAATTAAAAAATATAATGTGCATCCCCCCACCCCACCCCCACCCCATTTATTTTACTTCAACCTTCCTTTTTTAAATGTTGCCAAGGTTACAAGTGCTACATCAGGAGATAGTACATCAGATCGACAAAACTCTTTATTAAGAAACATGTCTTACAAGACTATGATCATGATTTTTTAAACAATAGTTATCACACATTCAGGTATTATGTTATCATTAATAATTATGCCAGTTTGGTGTAACAATTCAGTGTTCGAATTTACCAATTTAACTATTGCAATAAATGTCTTCCCTTCTATATTCGCCATCTGCAGATACTCATGAAACTTGAATTAAAATCATTTCAATTGGTATTTAAGATTTTCCGTACTGAAATTAAGCATGATTGAATATTAAATATAATGAAGTATCACCATTAAAATTTTTAGAAAAAATCTCAGTTAAGCCATCATATTTGACATTTGTTTTTTTTTTTTTTTTTTTGCATAAGAAATGTTAAAAGAAGTACATGTATATATCAGGCAAAAACACATTAACTGCTGTTTTTTTTCTATAAAATTGACAGTTGTTGCTAATATTCCACATAATGGCACCCTTATATTGACGTACGTCAGTTTTATTTCCAACAATGACATACAAAACAAAATTGACATAATACTATATGCCTTATATGGCCAAGTAATTGTTCAGTATAGAATACAAATGTTTAATGTTTACTCCTTGGGTTCACAGTCACTATCATCAATGAATTCCGGCTGATTAGCATCATGGACATAGTCCCTCCATTGCTTTGCTTGATTTCCTTTGCAACTTTGATGCAGAGGAAAACTGTGAACCATGTCACTGAGGAAATATGTCTACAAGTGCCAACAATTCGAGCTCCGGCCTTGCAAGTACAGTGCCAAGCCTTTACGCAGCAGTCATCGTATGTAATCCATAGATTATGCGATTTGCTGCTTGTATGCCTACTTGCCATTCTAACCCTAATGAGTTGATGTCCCTGTTGCATGACTTCATAGTATTCGCCATTTTCTAAATGTTCCTCAGTATAACTCTTATCTAGTTTAAGCTGGTATTCACCGAGCGTTATGTCCCTGATGTCCTCCTCCGATAGCTTCGGAAAATCTTCAACTGAATCGTTGCCGTCTATTTTTTGCCACCTACCACTTCTGGAATGCAAGTTTTCATTCGATACCCGTTCCATGAGCTCATTTTTCTTTTTTGACATGTGAAGCATTTTTGTACCTAAGAGAAGGTCTTCAGTTTCATTACCAGCATTAAGTGGTGGTCTATACTTATTACATATGGCACTGACAAAACGTGTATATTCACAAGCATGCGGTATAAGGGAATCGGGTCATACTTTGTCAAGCAATCGACACTGCTTGATTCTAACATTAACGGACTCAACAACCAAGCGGACCTTTGTTACTTGACGTGTTGTGTTACCATCTTCAACCGAAAGTTGCTTTTCGTTACGTTTGAGAAAGCTTGGCATTTTAATTTGAATACCAAATTCTTCTAAGAGGTCGATACTGTCCCGAAATCCCCGATCAACCACAACAACATCATTTGTTTCAAACCATTCCTTAATTTTCACCAAGTTATTTAAAAAAAATTGAGTTCAAAATTTTGGCATCATTGTTTTTGTTGTCACAAAGGTAGGGTCCAATCACACTTACAATGTATCCAGTAGCAGTTACAAACATCATTGGCTTAATCAGGTTGCGGTATTTGTGCATGCTATATGTACTACGTTGAAATTTAAATTATCCACTCTTTTGTATGTAAATATAAGGACCATCAATTACGAGTATGGCAGTTGTGTTTGTGATATCGCCAAATAATATTTGTGCCAGTGGACGAGTGTGGTTTTGTATAACACTTTCTCGGGATACATGATCAAAACCTAAATATTTTGGTGTAAAGTGCTGTTTAACTGCATCTCTTGCGGATGATATAGCTTTCCTGATAGAATCTTTGCTTATATTAAACAAAGTTGCTAATATCTTATTAGACATCCCCGAACGAAGTTTGGTCAAAAACATACCAATGCATGTTCTCATGCTTCGTACTTGGGTATCTCTTATAGCTGAGTTTGGCATGTGAGAACATAAGTCTTCAAAATCAGTTATTGTTAAGCCAGTCAAGTTTCGAAAATCTGTGTCATTTAAAGAAGATTACTTATCAAAGTCAATTCGAGCGTTTTTATTTTTTAATGCATGTTCTCTAATTGTATCGATCTATTCAAGTAGTCCGCTGCGATTGAAGTCAGAAACAGTATACACACTTGTTATGTCTTCGTTAGCTTCTTTTATAAAACCTTCAGTACATAAATGACGAGGACAGCACCGTGATCCGGCAGGAATAATTATATTCTTTTCCAAAAATGTGTTAAATCGTGCTTCTTGGGGAACAACCATAAGTTTTGGACTAAGCTTTGCAAAGACAACATTGTGCATGACCTTTAATTGTTGAAGAAATAGGAAGCGATATTGATGAAGGAGAACTTAATTTTGCTCTTTTAGGTGCGGATGGTGGCATGGTGAGAAAATTCTCCACACAAAGACCTTCTTTTTCCGGGTTTTGTTCTTTTTCACACAATATACATTTAAAATCTTTTCGTCCCTTTCTTATGTTGTCCATTCTGAAAAAAAAACATAAGAGGATACAATTAATATTTGGTACATTCAATTGCAAAATCTATTCAACTCCTAAACAATTTCATTGCAATCTGTTTTTGTGAAATATATATGTGTAACTGTATTGCAAAATCTAACATTAGCCTGTGCTAAAAGAATATTGGTGAAATAACATGATTAAATTTAATAATTATTATTGTAAAGAAGAGAATAGAAATAACCGTTTATGAATATAAGCGGAATATATTTTACAATGTGTTGTGCAGAATAGCCATATTGAATGGGGAGGCGAAAGAATAAGACAGCAAACCAACTACAGAGAATACCAGAACATTTTCGACATAAGACAAGCCCGGCATTATAATGACTGTTCAACATAAATTGCTTTTTTAAGTAACAGTCATGTTGAGGTTTTATGCTTGTTGTTTGTTGTTCACATAACACAAAATTTAGATCAAATATAACAAATTTCTTTTTAGATGAAACTCTGTCTTCCACTCTTCTTAATATCGTAGATTATGCAAGCCAGTGTATCACATGAAATTTTAATAAGATTTTAGAAATAACATTCTAAGTTGTCAAATTCATTTATGTGTTTGGTTATATGAATATTAAATGAATGTATTGACATCCAGTGGCAAATATTTCATACATTTTCAGACTATAACATAATGTAATCCATATTTTGTACTTTTACTTCTGGATGCTGTGCATAAATATCTAATTTTGAATCTGGTTTCGCAATGTTTTTAATTGAACTATGAATCTTCTGCACTCAGTATCAAATAATCGATTGCATA